CTGATGTAGCTGGCCTTTGCTCGGCTCCGCTGGGCGGCAATGTGGTCAAAGAACTGTGGCGGTTCTCTGAACAAAAAGGATTCTATACTCGTTTGGTTGCGCCCGCGACCGCGACCTTGACCGAACTAGGCTTGGAAACTATGGCAGAGTTTGGCGCTCCCGCTGAAGCATTCGATGTCACTTTTCCTCTGCGGCCCTCGCTGACTGAGGGGATTTTGTTCGATTGCGTGGAGCTCTTTTGTGGCGAAGCTAACTCACCGTGCCATTGGACTCCGCGTCCATCCGGGCGTTGACCTTAAAGCCTCGTCTTGGCGTGCCATTGACTTCTCGGATGCTGCCTCTTTCCGTGAGATTTGTGGTTTGGCCCTTCGGCGTGTCGTTTCCGAGTGGCATGCGGGGCCCCCATGCCTATACGTTCGGCACACTTCGCAGGCCGCGCCTGCGTTCGAAGTTGCGGCCATTCGGCTTCGACCCCTGTGATCCGTTGACTGCACTGCGTAACAAGCTCGCCATGCGTGTGGCTTTCCTGTTTTGCATCGCGGCTTCACTTGGCCAGTACTTCAGTGTTGAACAGCCCGGCAGCAGTGTCATGTTTTACCTCCACTGCTTCCTTTCCTTGGCAAAGTTGGGCGCTGCGCTTACGCGCTTTTGTTGCTGTTCCTTCGGAACGCCGTACATGAAGCCGATGCAATGGCTTCACAACAAACCCTGGCTTCTCGACCTTGACGGCGGTTGTACTTGCAGCAAATCTTCTCGTCGCTTTGTCATTCAGGGCACCTTCACAAAGCAAAGCGTTCTCGAGTTCAATGCTCGTTGCTCGCCATCCGCCTTCCAAGTGTACGGGCGTGCGCCAGTTCCAGGTGAGGCTGTCACCCGCTTCTCGGGTTCGTACCCCTTGCCCTTGGTCCGTCGCATGACCGCCGGAAGTTGGGCTCACTCTGGTTCTCCCAAGGTCCTCCCACTTTCAGCCAAGCACCCTAAGTTCCCTAGGTTGTGGTTTAGACCCCCTTCCTGAGTTCCCTTCCGTTCTCCCTGAAAGTTGTGCTTTTTTTGGATGATCCTGGATGGGTCAGCGAGCTCGCAGACTCGCTTCCATTCCGGGAATTTCTTAGGTATAAGTTTAGGGGTTCGGGGCACATAAATGTTCTTGAATCTAGGGCCTACAAAACCTGGATCAAATGGTGCGCTTCACGCCGTCCGAACTCCCGGATTTTAGGCTTGATTGATAGTCGAGTTTTGCTTGGGGCAGCGGCTAAAGGCCGTTCCAGTAGCTCTGCTATCTCGCGTGTGCTTCATCCCTCTTTGCCGTACCTGCTCGGGCCTTTATCCTGGGGGCCTGCGTGTCTATTCGGCCAAGAATAGAAGTGACGGTCCATCTCGTGGAAGACCCGTGGATCCACCTACGAAAGAGCAGCCGCTCTGGTTGTCAGAGCGTGCCGTTGGGAAGACTTTCTTGTTTGACCTTGTTTGTGCTTCTGCCTGCGTCCCGAAGCTTGCTGCAAGATGGCTTCGGTTCCTCCTTCTGCTTGGAGGAGACATTGAAAGGCATCCTGGACCTCCGTTGCGTCCTCGTGGCGCTCTCGACCTTGAGTCTGGTTTTGCAACCTCCACTCGTCAAAAAATGACGAAGGCCCTTGACGGTTTCACTGTCTGGCTTGAAACGACGCTTCTCCTTTCGTTTGCTGCAGCCGGGTTTTGGTTTGCGCCTTTACGCTAGTGGTTATCCTAGATACCTTCTTGTGTATGCCATCACTGGGGTGCAGAATGCCTTTCCCGAGTTCCGTTCGCACTTGACTCCGGCGTGGCAAATCGACAAGAAATGGCAGCAAGTCGAGCCCGGTGAGTGCCGTCCTGTGATTTCTCAACCGATCTTGCAGGCCGCTGTCTCATTGGCCGTGCTCTGGGGCTGGACCGATTGGGCCGTGTTGACCGCAATCGGTTTCCTGTGCATGCTGCACCCAGCTGAGCTTGTAGCACTTTGTCGGCAAGACCTCGTCCTTCCCGAGGATGCTTTCTCGGGGGATCCCATAGCTTATGTTCACATTCGCAACCCTAAAACGCAGCGCTTCGCCAGGCGCCAGCACTCCCGCATTGATGATCCTTTTGTTGTCCGGCTTCTCTCCGTGCATTTCGGTGCGCTTGCTTTGTCTGAACGCTTGTTCCGTGGCTCTCTTCACACGTGCCGAAGGCAGTGGAATAGTGTCATGGAGCGGCTAGGTGTGCTGCATACGCTTTCGCAGAAAGGTGCCACTTCCGGAGTCTTGCGAGGAAGCGGTGCAACTTTCTTTACCTTGAAACAGAGGATATCAATTTGGTTGCTTGGCGCGGAAGATGGAGAAAGGTCAAAACTGTCGAGTTTTACTTGCAGGAGGTAGCAGCGCAGTTGCTTTTGCAAAGACTGCCCCAGTGGTCTCGCGATCGCATTGCCTTGCTACGACGGTTCTCTCGACCGCTTCTTGCTACCATCGTTTCGGATAATTCTGGGTGAGCTTCGCTCAAGTATGATAGGCATGGAGAGCCTTTCTGCCAGCCTCGCCCCCTAAGGATAAGGTTTTAGGGTTTAGTCCCCTGATCCCTTTGTGGTTTAGTCCTTTCCCTAGGGTTTACGTAGGACCCGTGCGATGCCTGCCAGGAACCCTTCTTGCGTTTCGTCGGCGAAGCCGACACAGGAGAGCTTCATGATGCGCAGGCGCGAAAACGGTGATAGGGTTTAGGGGTTATGTACAACGTGGGTGCGGCCTAAGCAGGCTGGGGTGGGAACTTAGAATCTGAGGGCTTTATGGTCAGGTGTACGGTTTGGGCTGTAGTTCGTCTAATTTGTTAGGATTCAAGGCTTTGGGGTTTGGGGGGTTCCGTTTTGGGCTGTAGCATCTGGTTTGTCTAACTGGCCACGGTTTAGGGCTTTAGGATTAGGCTTTTGGAGCTTATTCGGGGTTTGGGTCGAGAGGGTCGGAATTTCGAGGACGCACCACGGGCCATGCAGCGTCACGACGTGCCGCGAACAACGAGTGGGTCGTCACTTACGCCCAGATTGTTGAGGACGCACCACGTGCCAGCGTCGCGACACGCCGCCATTATGGATAATTTCACACTTGCGACGAGAATTTGCAGGATGCTCCACGGGCCGTTGTTACGACGCGCCGCAAACAGCGAGAAGGTCGTCGCTTGCGCCAAGATTCGAGGACGCTCCGCGCGCCCCATCGTCACAACGCGCCGCGCCCACCGAGAGGGTCGTAACTTACGCCCAGTTTTTTCGAGAACTTTCCACGTGCCAGCGTCACGACGCGCCATGATCACTGAGAGGGTCGTTACTGTTGCCCAGAATTTGGAGGATGCGCCACGCGCCAGCGAGAGGATCGTTGCTTATGTCCAGAATTTCCAGGAGGCTCCATGTTGGCACAGGTGTGAAGATGGAAGATGAAAGGAAAATCCAGGAACGGACTGGGAACTCCCTGCGATCCGATTCAGCCTCCTGTGCGTGATCCGATTCGTGCCGCCCGCGATCCGATTCGTATGGCACCCGATCCGCTTCGTAGGACCCCCAATTTGATTCGTGCCCGTGCGATCTGACCGCCGCCGATCTGATTCGGGCCCGCCCCGATACGATTCCCGTGAGTAGCCCGAATAGAGGTTTTCACGCTTATGCTGCGGATGCGTCATGTGTTTGAAAGATCTATTCAAGATTGTGACCGTGTTTTGTGGTCTTCGTCAATTTTTTTTAAAACTTGTTTCAAGTGCTCAAGCAAAGGCACCGGCAGCAGATTCCAAAAAGATACTGCTTGGCCGATTGTAATTTGAGATTTACAAGCCATAGACAAACAGTTGTTGCACATCAAAACGGCAAAAAATCATCATGTGCTGGCACATGTCAAATAAAGCTGTGTCAGTGGGACATGACCTGTACTGTTGAAGATACCCAAAACATGAGCCACAAGTTGGCAACCCTGGCACAAAGCTGTCACCTACAGGCCCCCAAACAGCGAGCTTTTTTGGGTATTTCCTCTTTGCTGCAACCGCACAAAGCGCAACCTGCAGGATTCGATCAGCTTCCTTCGAAGGAGCATGACATTCTCTCACCCAAGCAACTTGGATGAAACGTGTATGCTTCTGATGCAGATGAAAGTTCTCAAACTCCCCAATGGCACTGTTGGATGAGAGCCACAAGGGAGATCACCCACTTGTTTTCCAGCAAGACAGGAGGAGAGATCCCATGATGATTTCAGTGGGGGACCTGACGCCCTGGCTTGGTTCAGTGTGACTTTTTCATCTCTGCGGTTTATTCAGTCAGCGGATAATTTTTTTGCAGTTGCTTTCGGCAGAGCTTTCTTTCAATCAGAAATGGGAACATTCGTATAAAAAGAGATGACATTGCGCGGGTCTGCCACGAAACCTCTGACTCTTAAAAGGGTATGAGGAAGGTAGTAAAACCTACATACTGAAAAGACTTCTCTATTTTGTAGAAAGTCTACATGCAAATACATAGCTACAGATGCACACATATGTTAGAGATGCATACCTTGCCGAGGCAGCGATCGCAAGCGCTCGATTGCTGCGCTGAAAAACATGATGTATACCCATGAAACGCTTAGACGCGGGGCCTGGACGGAACCAATAAATTGCCTTGTCTCAATAGCCCATTCACGAATTTGTTAAGCGTCATGAGTGTTTCCGAAGTTCTACTACGTGTCATTTTATCGTGGCATGGTGCGCGTGTGCGAAAGTTGTGCATCATGTTTAAGGAAGCGCGTGCTCCGGAAGCAACGCAGCGACGTCCACTCCGACCTGCTCCTTGCGACGCTTGGATGGGACTTGAGGATTTTTACCGCGAGCCGCTATCTTGAAAGTACAACAAGCCCTTTGCTTTGAAGATCCCTGGCTCTCCTGACCTGAATTTCTGTCACGGTGCTCTAGCATTTCAAAAGCTTTTGCAAGTTGGCAAGGGCTTGCAGCACCTGGAGAGCCTTGCCCTTGTTCCCCAGTCCCCAGCAAGCCGGCTTCCAATGAGGCAGGTGGTTTCGCCCAAGAGCAAGCTCGACCCGTTGCGAAAGAAGGAACGCGAGGAGAAGGAGAAGAACCGACAGGGCGACAGAGGCAGGCTTTTCTTCTGACGTTTCGTTGAATTTTCAGACTTTTGCCCGCATAGGGTGTACCCAATGTAGTATGCTACCTCATATCTTGTGGTAGAAGAGAGTGGGACCTGAATCAGACAGATGAAGGACTCAGAGGCTTGTCGACCCCTTGTTTTTGAGGTCCTAATTAGGATCTTAGACTCCTGATTAATTCGCCAGCTTTACTCAATAAGGCTAAAAAAGAAGCCTAACATTTTGAGTTCTGCGTTAGAAGGGGGTAATAGCAAGAAACCCTCGAATCCTCAACTTCGAACCAACGGATTTTTCAGGAGTTCTGTCCAGGGAAAATTTTTTCGTTAGTCCTTCCAGGCCTCAATCGCGGCGAGCGCCAGAGGCACCTCTGCGGCGGCATGGGGTTGCCTCAACATTACGGGTTCAGCTTAGGGGAAAGGATGCTAAATGGGCAAACGAAGAGTGGGTGCTGTATACCAGAACCATATAGAAGGAGTTTTGAACCTCAAATAAAGATATTCGTGCCCTTACATTACCCCTTGAAAATACCAACCCTACAGCCATAGCTGCAGCTGTAGAAGGGTCCAGGAACAGCAGTGCCTCTAAAAATTAAGCAGCACCTTGATCAGTTTCAACTTCGCGTCCGGAAAACATGTTTGTCATTTGCGGGAGGCTTCCCAGCGCGGTTCCTGTGGAGGTGGAGCCAGAGATGATGCAGAGGATCATCTAATGCATCGAAAGTGTTTTCGGCACTCTTGAGACGTATCAGTGACGTATCATTTGCAACCTCTGGTCCCTTTTGCCTACATTTCTTGGCTCTTAATCTTCCTCTTAATCTTCCAGCAATCTTCCAGCATGATGGGCTGAACGTTGTCCAGGACTCCTGCCACACCCCTGAAGCTGCCTCCCACGCCCCAGCCCAACCAGCCCAACCAGCCCAACCCCCGTGACCGCGCTGTGACTCTTAGCCTGATTCAGTGTTTTTGTTTCCTCACTTGTTCTTGTCAAATCTTATGGTAGCTTGAACATCAGATTCACGAGTTCTTGGGAGCCGTAGTGCGGTCCTAAGGAATCTCGCACGGCGCATGAGCGGTGCCCGTGCAGAGGAGGTGCCAGGAGCTCGGCATGCTTAAACTCTGTTTAACTGTCAGAGTTGTCGGGGTCTGTGAGACCAAGCCTGCTTTAAGCCCAGGGATGCCTCGGCTGCGGCGTTGCCAATCGCTTCTACCCCCTCGCAGCTGGGAAAGGACCTCTGAACGGCCCACATTGGACATGCGCTTGTGCAGCGAAGCAGCGAAGCCGTGTCAGGAGGGTCCACACTGCGACCTGCCTGAGCCAAGCCAGTGGCGAAGAGGCTCTTCGTGCTGGCGTCATGTTCTCACGTGTTGCCGCGCAGTCCCGCAGTCCTCTCCTCCAGGTGCTTTGATTGCAAGCGTTGATGATTGTCTGGACAGACTGTACACAGAACTGGTTCCGGCGGAAGATGTTGCCCGAATGAGAGTGAGGCTTGGCTGAATTGCGTTCAATTCGTGCCGCCATGTGCCGCCATTTGGGTAGTTTTGGAAGCAAAGTTCTTAGCTCATGTTAGCTGCTGAGGATATTTTCCCGCTATGCGAAATCTGGCTTCGAGCTGAGCAAGGACGACTTGCCAGAGGTTTTGCGTGGCCCGGCAGCCTGAGCCCTGCGCCGCCTGCCAGTTTCTCATGATTTCTCATGTCAAGTACATGTGTTCAGTAGAATGAGAGAAGTAAGCTGAACTTACAGAAGTTCTCCACAGTTGTTGCAGAGACTTGGAGAGGGTTGCTACTTGAAAACTTGTGGACCCGAAAGCATATTAGGGCTGTTTTAGCTCGTGCTCTGCCAAGGACGTCTTCACTTTTTTCTTGTTGCAGCTGCAACCCTGATGCAAACATCGTTGTCTTGGTGACTTGCGGTTTAGGTTTTAGGTCTCATGCCATATGATGGAAAGCCATCCCGCACTGTCAGGGGACATCGTCTAAGGATAAATGCCAGCAGATCGCCAAAGAGGTTACCAGCTTCGATGTCATGGACTTTAACGATTTTCAGGATTTCTACGAGCGCTTTGCTTCGCAACTGGGCAGCGTCAACAGCCACACACAGGAAAACGCTAGAAGCCGTAGTAGCGCTAATCATAGCGACAAATGGAGCAAGATTATTGTGATAGCGAAGATGCAATGATGATGGATTCTGTTCCGGCACTTGGTGATGCTCCGAGGTATGAACGTCAAGCTATCCAGATGAAGCTGAAGAGGCCAAGGGGTCCTGGCATTTTCTTACCTACAGCCTAGGCGACGTAGGCCACTACCACCACGATGGTTCAACAACCTGGTGGTATGGCGATTTGCCTTTTTTCTCGGTCCCAGGTACCGCCCCATGCCTCCGTCGACGCGCGGCCTTGAGGTATTGTTATCTTTGCAAGATGACATGTCTGCCTAGCCAACAGGTTAAGGACAGTTCCTCATTGCCCTTCACTTTGCTTGCCATACATTGGCTCTTTGCTGCCAAGGAAGTTTGCTCCTCCGCCGACCGACCATGAAAAGGAATCACAGGCTGCCAGCAGGATTTGTGTGAGCTAGACCGACACAGCGGCAGTGTCCTCTGATGTCCTCTGCATCCTCTGCGGTTGAGCCTGTCAGGCGCTGCAACACCTGCGGAGCCTGTTGCGAGGCTTTGGCAGCTCAGCGCAAGGTTCTGGACCGAAGCCCTTGCATCTGAGGGTTGACATCTGCAAAAACTGCCCCGTGCCCTCGAAAGTGTTCAATGACTTCAATCTGGCACCCACTTCACTTGCAGCATCGACTTGAGAGAAGGAACTGGGAAACAAAATATCAGTTCTGCAACAAACTGCAGCAGCATTTGATGTGTTTCTTGATGCCCTCCCAAATAGTATCATCTTAAGATGCAGGGCCCCAATCATCAGTATCATTCACTTGTTGTGAATCACCTGGCTCTGCTGGTTCACGGAATGCATGTGCTGATGAGGTGTGGTTTGCAGACAGTCGTCTCTTTCAGAGATCCGGGCTGCTTAGCTGATCCATTGATTGATCGGTCCACTGATTGATTGATCCATTGATTGACTGATGTTAACATCAAATGTACATCGTCGTCGTCGTCGTCGTCGTCGTCGTAGTAGTAGTAGTAGTAGTGGTAGTAGTAGGAGGAGGAGTAGTAGTAGTAGTAATAGTAATAGTAATAGTAGTAGTAGTAGTAGGAGGCGGTAGGAAAATCGTCAGCATAGCGATGTGAAGGACGAGCTGGTGTTTGCCTCAAGGGTTTCCAGCCATGACGCGGATGCCTCCAAAGTAGAAGATCTTTTGGGCATACATGGATAGATGTATGCCTTGAGGTTGCCTTTCACGGTTGGCGAAAGCCAATGGCACATTTGATTTGAGAAGCAGCGGCCTTGCTAAGGACATGGGGGGCTTGAAGCTTAGCCAATGCGATAATGCCACGGCCCTGAATCGTTTCCTGGCAGCTTTCCGTGCCGGTGAAGGACGCTGTTCAGGTCTGTGCAGCAAAGTGGGTCTTGGTTCAACCCCCCCCAAGGAACACGCATTACGATGCTGAATGTTGCAAGCTTCCGGCAATGCTTCCGGCAATGCATCTTTCCCAGGGATCCTTCTTGCAGTGATCTTGATATTCCGCTTGAAGCTTGCTGAGGCAGCGCTCCGCAACATTGTTGAGAAATGTTCGTTGCATGGGGGATGTCTCCTGTGAGGATTTACCATGGGCGAAGTGGACACACTGCTGAAAATCTTTGACGAGTGTGAAAGCGCAACCTGGCAGAATTTCTTCAGAGTTGTTCTTATTTTCCAGCAGGACGGCGAAAAACTCCAAAGGATGAGTGTGTTGATCGGGAACCGTGCAGCATCTTTCGCCGAGGACTTGGTAAACCTCGGCCCGGAGGGGCGCATAATCAAAGTGTCCGAGCTTTCAAAGGGCTTGCTGAACTTTGGCGGCCTGTACTGTGCCTTGACCATTCATGGCTGCAAGCGAGGGAGGCCGACATTTTTCAAGTATCTGCAGCGTTGATTGTCAGACGGCTTTCCACATCTGAGGCGTAGATCATCTGCATGCCCTGATGGCACAGCTGGACGGGGTGTTCAAAGAGCGCGGGCCGCCAGTCCTGTTGGGAAATAGAGTCTGTCAGTAAGTCTATTGGAGCAGGGACACCTGCAAGCGTACTTGTATGTAAGACAAGTCCTCTGTGAGCTTCGGAAACATCTTAGGTGTCATTCTGCTTTTACTGTTGCTTCTACTCGTCGGGGTGAGCCGGAGGCATGGCATCTGCCTGTTCGAGTTCTTGGTCTATGCTCGCGAGCTGCGGCAAATGGAGCTCAAAGAGGCTGTGGGTTTTGGGCCCTGCGGGTTCAGGGGAGGGCGGCTTAGGACAGCAGGGTGGATCGTTGCGGGTTCGTGAACGTCCAGTGTAGCCACGTCTTCTCAACGCGAAGGTTTTGTCATTGGGGCGCTTGAGCAGTCCAGTCCATTGCCATGCCTTCCACCTTCGTGCGCGGCATGGGAATGGCCTGTGGAGAGACACCGGGGTCTGCCTGTGACTGGTTGGTGTCACCCTCCACTTCCATCCCATGCGGTTTGACTTCTGATTTGAAGAGAAGTTTTGAGAGCACCTGCTGTGATCGCCACTGGAGCGGGGTCCAGATGGGTACTATTGGACATGTCGCTGTTGATGGCAGCGGTTGTGGTGGGACCCTGCATGACTCAGCAACTCACTGATGCGAGAACACACATCGCCGTATAGCAGCATGCCAGTCGTGGATGGGTCGTAGATGAAGGTGCTCTGCTCTGTCAATCAAGCAATCAATCAATCAACAGCCACACTCGGGAAATGGCCAGTGGGCCACCTTGGAGGTCTTCAACTGGGCTTAGAGCTAGTGCTCCAAACCCTAGGCTGCAAGTTTGGCAGATGAACTACAAAATGATTGCGTTATACGTGGCGAAGTAGGGGCAGCGAACCTGTCCGGATCTCATAAGTGCTGTGCGCAGGTGGCAGATCATTTTGCCGCCTTGGATCTGGACAAGGACGCTGTATGCTCTCAGGTATTGTCCAAAAACCATAGGACGACATGTTATGCATGCTTTCTTTTATTCCAGACTGTATATGATGGTATATCACCTTGTGTTGTGGCATTTTATGTTACGCATGCAGTGTATCTATGCATAGACATGCATAAACTTTATCTCTCCAGCGTTACTCTCCATTTGCATTCCCATTACTCCAATCATTTTAGTTCTTAGACTTATGGATAGCTCAAGTCTGATGATCAGAACACACCGCTCTTGCCTGCTTGCTGCAAAGGTCCCGAGCACCCTAGGGCAGACTGCTTTACAATTTACCAACCTATGAACCCAGATATGATCTGAATCCTGAATGTTGAAACTGTAGATACCTTTGCTTGGCAGGACGGGTTCATCCGTGGTTCCGACTTGCAGGCAGTGTAATGCTGATGTTCCTATCTTTCTGGAATTTTCGTGATTTTTGGTTGCGTGGGCATTTCTGCGGCATTGCCATGGGAATGTCCCAAACGCTTAACCTTGAATCAAGTGTCAGATGAGGCAGCTGCTGAGGTTCATGGATTAGGGAGAAGTGCCTTGCTCGTCAGGCGCTTATGCAGCCCCTGGGCTTCACGCTCCTTTCGAAAGAGCTCCGTGAGCTGCAGGCCCCTGGCAGAACTGCCTACGAACTGCCTATCTCTTTCCAGAAGTCTCTTTTGTTTTCCCCGCTCTCCCATGCCGTCTGCAGAGGCAGGCCTTGCTTGCGAGGCAGCCAGATCCATCGCAGTGGATACCAAGATTGATTTCGACACCGCCTTGGACTTCGTAGTTCACGTGCGCCAGAGGTGGGATTGCAACGGCCACTTTCAAAAGTGCTCTGTGTGCCGACTCCAAGTAAAACGAGAATGCCGCTCTCATCCAAGTCCGCACAAAGTAGGTGCTTGCTTCCCAACATCTAGCACGGTGACGGCAAGCATGTCTCTATGCAGGCATGGCTTCACCGAGGCCGAGACGCAGGCTGCCGAGCCGCACCAAATCAACATCGAAATTAGTTACGTACATAGATTGCCTCGCATATTATGTCGCCAATCTTGAGAATGCAATCGCAACTGGATAGCACTTGCTTCACCTTGGCGAAATGTTTGCCCCTGATTTGTTTGTATAAATACACATATATGTCCATATACATCCATACATCCCCAGAATCGCAGAGCCTGTATGGCCACATAGCCTCGACCTCTGGATACTCTAAGCCCAAAGCTCAGAAGACTTTAACTCTAAACCCCTAAAAGCCTAAGCCTGAGCCCTAGAACCCTTAGCCCTGGCCCTAAACTTCCCTGCGCCCCAGAAAGAAGCCTGCTTCAGGAGTGTCTAGCAACCTTTGAGCGCTTCTCGCGTGGTTCTGGCGAGATGCCCACGCTGCAGGCCGCAGAATCGCCAACGTACCGGGACTTATTGGGAATTTGGGTCTGGGTTTTGGTTTAGTTTAGGGACGGGGATTCAGTTACGATTGTCACCTCAGATTCTTTTCATAACTCTGCTAAGGTGCCTTCCCAAATCCGACTCTAAGTACTTGGGCCCTTGTAAAGCATTGCTCGCGTTTGATTCTTTTTTTGGGGGCTTTCTACATGGTTTTCTACATGGTTTTGCGCTTTGAGTGATCTGTTTTTTTTGACATACCCGTGTTATACACGGGACGGAACCTCGCCAGCATCGTGCACGTGGCACAGAAGAACAAGACACTGCATGTTGACACTGTTGTCACGTGTAGCCCAACGGATGCCTACTAGGGCATCATACTGTCTCCATTTGTGGAGGTCATGGAGCTGCTGCAGTGGATGGGCTTCAAAAATCGTGTCGAAGATGCCTCTCGGTTTTCATATGTGAATAAACCTGCTATCAGAATATTTATTCGCCATTTGTGACGGCTTCCACCAATCCTATTGCAATCGAACCGTTTTCTTCGTGTTTGATTGTGATGTTCCGTGCTTCCATTTGTCTTTCCGGAGTCAGGTCCGGAAGATGGTTCAGCAGGTGGACTTCAATGCCAATGGTACCATGGACCCTTCGGATGGGTGTAGGTGTAGGGTTTAAGATTCAGGGTTCTGATCTTGGCTGGCTGGAGGCTTGTAGCTGCATTGCTAGTCCTTTTGAGGCATCCGGTGGGACGGGAGGGGATCAGATTTTCAGATCCAGCGTCTCAACTTATTGCTGCACAGCCACATGAGTGCTGCGCGAAAGCCGCGGAAGGACTCTGTGGAGTACCTACGTCTCATGCGCCTGCAGAAAGAGTCCAAACTTGCATCATATCGCAAGATCTACGAGCACCTGGCCAGCAAAAAATACTTGCTTGTGCATTGTGTGCCTATTGCTGTGATTTGATCGGTTGCATTGCTGTTACTACTTGGAATACCACTCGTAGCGCTCGTACTACACTTACTTTTCTAGGGTATGTCACATTGTCTTGCATTCCTATGTCGGCAGCATGGTTATTGTTAAGCATCATATACACCGTGAAGTGTCTTGTCATCCTTTGGTTACGGCAGTAGTCGCTTACAGTCGTGGGTCAGGAAGATTCTCTAATGACTCTGAAATGCAGAGCCCGGGGCGGATGGCGTTTCGTCAAAACGCATCGACGCCCGTTTTCCATGGTCACGCCCTGTGCAAACCTTGTAGGATATAGAATTGTGGAAGAAAGCAAGTTTAAGAACAAGCATCACCCTGTATCACCCCCTGCCTGCCGCAAAGTACGGCGGAATCCTTCAAGTTTGATGAAACCCAGATGCTTCTTGCCAGATGTCTCGCGAGTTTTTCCCAAACTGGGGATTTTCTTCGCTAAGTGTTTCAAGATGACCAAGTCTTTTGTCTGCGGGCCCTAACCAGAAGGACCTCAGGAGCCAAGCATGGTGCAGGATTCTTTCTATCAATTCAGCAGTATGGCTTGATATAGGGACTGATGGCTGATGCTACAGCCTATGCCGTTCAGGGTTTAGGGCACCCTAAACCCCATAGGTGTCAAAGTATCCTCCAAGAGTTCATCCGTCTACACTTTTCATCCCTCGTGGGCCCGAGGACCGAAACATGAGTTTTCGAGGTACCAAATACACCCTAAAGCCTCAACCCTGAAACCCTTTTCGGGTACCTGAAACCGTCAAATTTCAGTCATTGGACCCATGCGGACATAAAGCCAATATTGGACTTTCCCAAGATGAGGGGTCCCGTTTTGGTAAACCTGACAAGAAGGATTATAGTATTTGGGGATCCACATTGGGGTCTATATCAGGGTCCCTGTATTTAGGGAACTACAACATATCATCATGCATCCTGAAGGTTAGCACAATGTCGGTGGGTATCCCGAAACTGCAAAGATCTACCCTAAACCTTAAACACTGGAGCTTTTGTCCTATAAGCCCGAAGTTCCACACCCTGAATCCAAACTCATCAACCCTTAGCCTCCAATCTTGAGCTCTTCATGGCACGGAAGGCTCAGTCTCCCACAGTAAACTGGAATCCCACAAAAGGCCATCTCACTGACATTTTTTCAGGAGTTCAGAGTTTAGGGTTTCGGGTTTAGGGTAAGTAGGCTTTTTGTGTGTTGGGGGGGGGGGTTGAACGAAAGTCAAACGGAAAAGGACTTGGGAAATGACATGGGGAGCTGGGGCTAAAAGTAACCTAAAGGTGCCCAAATCAAGGGTGCCGGTTCTGCTTGTTCCGAAAGATTCCAGAAAGTTGGCATGTCTAATAAGAACCCCAATATAACCTATATAACCCCTGTATAATCTATACCCCCCATGAGCCCTGCAGTTTCCATCCATTATCCCAAAATAACCCCTTCGTAGCCCCTATGATCCCTATGTAATAATAACCCATTATAGTGGTTTCCATTCTCTTTTCCATTTAACCCTTCAAGAGATCTCCGCAGGGCCAAGGGCCTCGAGAAGACGGAGCTTACAGCAGCACTCTTTACCGAGGCTCCGTTAGGTTCCAACTGCATCTATTTGGGAGGTTCCCAAAACTAGGGATATCTTACTGAGGGCCCCCATAATAATGATCATAGCGCTTTGGGGTCTATACTGTGGTCCCCCTACCCCGGGAAACTACCATTTGAGCTACAATTATTGCAGACCTAGCGGTAAACAACAGTGGTTAGCATTCGTAGTAGCTCTGTCCAGAGTTCTTTTTTGCATGTTCTTGTTTGGCAGGGTTTTGGAGCTGTCAACCCTGAACCCACGATTTTGTCGGCAGTTTCCAGGTCACCTTCAGTCTTCGGCTTAGGGTCTGAAATCTAAAGCTCTAAAGTCTTACGAAACATGTGTTTGGTTTAGGAAGCTTGAGATTTCAAACCTCTGTGGTTTTGATCGAATGAATCGGGGTTCTTGCAAAGGAGGAGAACTGTATGTACTTCTAGTATGCACGTAGTCTTTGATGAGCAATAGATCGTTTGGGAGGCACAAGCAGACTTGATTACTATAGACGTGTTTGTTTCACAAGCGGTGGGCAGTGTTTTGAAGCTTGAGGGGTCGGGTGTGGAGGCTGGGGTTCGGGTGGATTTTGGATGGACCCACACCATTCAACCTGTTTCATATAGGTCAAAGCATGTGCGGCTTCGCATGTACGTGTCCTCGCATTCATCAGTCATGGCTCTCGCACTCACAAGCAAGAAGACTTGTCTCAAAATGTCCATATGTATGTTGTCAGACTTGTAGCTCAGTTTTATCGTCAAACTTGGAGATCACGTGTCTGACAATCCTTATGTAAAAGTTATCATTCTTTATGAAAGTAACTCCCCCCCACCTTCCTTAGCCTCTCGTCGCAACCGAAACTGGCCGCGCGTCCCGGAGAACCTGGACGATTTTCTTGTAGAAGAGAACTGTGCTTTGTTTTGGGACGGGCATGGGGCGGTGTGCAATGAATCTTGGGAATCCCCACTACCCGGCTGGGACAGAATATCCTTGCCGCAGCCTGCAGTTTGTCGTAACAAGCAATTTTGGCATGGTGATGTTGAGGTATAGTGGAAGTGGTAGCTGGAGTGATGTTGGTAGTTTTAGGTGCAGCTCCAGCAATAGTGGCAGCGGTAGCATAAACAGATGTGGTGGGAGATTTAGTGGTGGTAGAAGTGGTTGTGATAGTATAGTATTGGTAGTGGTATCGGTTGCGGTAGTGGCGGCAATGGTAGTTGCAGATGTGGATGTAGTGGCGATGTTAGCAGTAGCGCTAGTAACAGCAGTAGCAGCAGTCGCAGTACTAGCAGTAGTAGCAGCAGTTACAGTCATAGCAGCAGTCGGCTGTGTTTGTTGCATTTTGTTGTCGTCATCGCCGTCGCGGTCTTCGTCATCGTCGTCATGATTGTGGCGGTTGCTGTTGCTGGTGCTGGTGCTGTTGTGCCCTCCTTTGTGCTCGCATCTTCGATCAGGCCTTGGGCGAGGCGCAGCTGCATGCTCCACCCAGAGCCTCGGACAAAATGCAGATTGCCATCATTATATAGTTCAAGTCCTTACCGATGGGTCTCTTCATGTCTTATGGTCCACATAGTAGATTGCCAGACTGACCCCATCGTCAGCAAAATCACGTGTGTCCGAACTGTGATCCTGTGCAAGGGTCGTGGGTAGCTGCTGAGGAGTTCGTCAACGTATTCGCTCCTTATCCGTTATTTTTGAGTATAGAGGCTTCCCCGCAGTTGTGGAGCTTCCACCTAAAAACATGATCCTCCGCACAGAATCCTTCGCGGCGGGAATCGATTCCCAACATGCCAGGCAGCTTTCGGCTGATAACTGTAAACAGATGGGGATTGTCTTCAACATACTGTACCATGGGTCTTGGTGCTTGGAATTCATGATATAACTTACCCCCATGTGGGAATGTGTTCATAGTGATAGTGTCAGGTTGTGCACAATTTTGTGAAGGTCTAGAGTCGCTACAACCTGCGTGGCTGCCTGAGGAATTTTGGACGACATCTTCAGCAAGCTGCTTGCTGAAGCCAGTGTTTCTGCAGGTGCAGCTGTGCTCATTGATGGATAACGTTGTCAGGCTGTTGGGTTTTCAAGTAGATGGGCCGGCCTGGATGGCTTTCAGTGATTTGGGTCATTTTAGGTCTGCGGCTGTTCCGAAGGCTGCTGAAGAGAAGGAAATCGTAAATGGTAAGTGTAGGGGGTAAAAGCTAACCATGTGAGGGGCTAGGGTAAAGGGTAGGGATCATGGTAAGAAGGGGCAAGGGGCAATGGGTAAAGAGTAAAGGGTAACACAGTTAAAGGCACAATGACCAGGATTTGGCACATGCCATCCCAGCCTTGTCAATCCTTTCGTTTGCGCAAGGAGCGTATGGCACTTATGCAGGATTTCGCAGGGCAGCTCCCACAGCTTTGTGGAATGCTAGGAGTCTCCTGGGAGACCTGGGTGGCCGTGGCGGAACACACCAGGAAGCTGATCCCTGTTGAGAACCGGAAGCAGGCAGGGTTCATGATTTAGGGTTCAGGGTCAGGTTTGGCATTTGTTTTTTTATTTTTATTTTTTTTATGTTTATGGTGGGGCTGTAAGGATGCTCCTAGGCGCGGTTGGAGAGCTGCGGACGAAACGTGAGGATGGCTCGTGGAGTTGAAAGCACTGAGTGCAAAAAGGGACCATGCTCTCTTCCAACCCCTCCCCACACCCCTCCCCGCAGACTGCTCCAACCCTTCCCCCTGCTCCTTGTCCGTGTCTGCGCAGGCAACATTCAGTGACGCGGAGCTTGAACAACTGAGGACAGCGTTTGGTAGCGGCCAGGGGGTTGTCAAAATTCAGAACTCATGTCATAATGGATGCGTAGATGTTGTGCATGGAATGTATAGGGTTGTTCTGATACGGTATGCACTTTAGGAGTCACCAAGCATCCAGGACAGCTTTCAATCTTCAGGGTGCTGCAAATGGCTCTCTGGCGGCACCGAAGGTTGCATTGCAGGAACGCGGTCTCACAGCCATTCTGAAATCCTCCTGGCCATCCTTCTGCCTTATGGCTTGTTTGATCATCCATGCATCTCAGCAACCCACTCGTGGCAATTTGTCATTTTCCAACAAGGATTCTTGTTGACTTCATGCTGTAGGGGCTTTAGACCCGGTAAATAGTGAGACCCCAAGTTGAGCGTTTCTCCAATGAGGCCATGTCTCGATGGGTGAGCTCCTCTGGATGCTCTCGGAGTCTGGAATGCCGGTCAACAAGGCCTTGATGGGTTCGTGTTGGATACTTGGCACTTGGGTGGTGAACTATCCTGAAATCATGTTTTATTTATATGTGCCACTGCTGCGAAATCAGGGTCCTCAGGGCTTGTCTGCAGCAACGGGGCCTGGCCCCTGCTGAAGCAGTCCCCTCCTCCGCTACTTGCGATTCTGAAGTAGCCTTCTGGCCTTATGTATGAGTCAGCAGGGGCGCGCCTACATGCCAGGCTAGCGGAAGACGTGATCTGCACCTCGACAAAGAAAGTTGAGACGAAGGGATTGAGGAGGATGCCGAGCACACGGAGGACTGGAGGCACTAAACTGGCTGCCTCGGAACAATCAGTTCATGCAATTACGATCGGTGCATGTGGGTTCGAGTTCCTGTCCTGGCATGCAGACTCTCGGGTCATTTCAGATCTTTCGTCGGTGTAAATCTTGAATCCAAGGTACACAAGCTTGGACAAGGCTAGAAGAGTGGCCTTGGAGTCTGGAGTTCCTCTAGAGGCAGGGCACCTTGCTCCTGTAAATGCCAGCTATAGGGAAGCAAGCCTCACTGCCTTGATGTCATGCATCGTGCAGCGCAGCATGCTGTCTGCTACACCCCTGGTCTCATTGCGTCTGAGAAAATCGGCGTGGCCACCAGGCCGTCGGCCGTCCCGGCAGCCCTCATGTGCGCTTTTACCCAGTGGCAGCTTAGCTGCAAGCTGTCTCTTGTGATTCTAGCTTCTGGCCCTTGATGACATGTCTGAAAGTCGGAAGGTTGAAGCATTCGAGCATAGGTTGCAACCGCTTGCTCATCGAATTCTGGCATGTGGGTCTATGCTGCCAAGGTCCATCTAGTTCGGGCCTTCATCCGAAATCAAGAACAGAAGACCTACGAGCGCGAAGAAGCCGCTATGAGGTTCAACGTTTGCAAGCTATGCATATGGAAGCCCAGGTTGAGCATCGATACGGGCATTCTCAAAACATGGATGGTTTTCTTGTGGTTCTTGTTGTCAGAATTTGACCACTTAGCAAGTGCACTTGCAGACTTGAAAGCGGAGCCTGCGCATGCTTCTCGGTCTACGTCGACTGGACAGCTATACTTGTATCTTTGCAGGGCGGTTCGTTTCTCCTCTGCCGAGATCATGGAGCTTCGGACTCTTTTCGAGAAAGAGGCGCTGGCTGTTAGTCTCTTAGGGTCTTTGCGCATGAGCCAAGGGACATACGTGAAGTTGGTAGCTTCTGTAGCTTCAGGCTCAGTAGCTGGTACAGGGCTACGGTAAGGAACCAGCGAGTCAGGCATGGCAGTCTTTGCGCGGCACACCTTGTGTTCAATTCTGCACTTAGTACGCAGGCGTCTGCAAGCGTGTCTCCTTGCAACGGGCTTTGTTGCCGTGAGTCTGATGAAGACAGCATCCTTGGCGCAACCGTCTGCATGGTTTTTCTCTAGGTATAGCAGATTCCAATGCTGCACATGCAGCTTTGGGCCACCTGTGCAGGCCAAAGAATCGCAGCGGGAACTTTGGGGAGAGGTGCCTTGGCAAGTGGGACAGGGCTTGGCGTCTTGGCTCCTTCCACACCCTTGGAATGCTTGGATATACTCCTAGGTGCGATTGACAGCAAGCATTACGATGATGATGATGATGATGATGGATGATATTAGATGTCTGAGTCAAACAAGCATTCTGGTTACTACCACTTTTAATGTCGCACCCCCTTCTGTATAGGGGCTCGGAATAATAACATTTTCCCACATTATTCAGAATCTGCTATTGTTTGGGAGGTTCGGAATAACAAAGTTTTTCCGCGACAAAATACAAAAAAATCAAGCTTTCTTACCTAAGTCAGGTTTGCCTTTGAGGCCTTAAAGGATGTTTAATTCCAGAGCTCAGCACCACAGCCTTTACCTATCAGGCCTGATATGAGAAAATCCGAAATCCGTAAACTCAGAACAACCAGATCCACATAAACCGCTTTTTCGGGATGATTAGAAATTATAGGGTCCGTCAATTTCTGTGGGGTAGTCCATCAAAGCCCCGGATCCTCAATAAGGAAACGTTTTGGGGGTTCGGAATAATAATTCATCTTGTCAGCCGCCCAGAATTTCCGAAAATTTAAAAGGATTTGTTTAAATTGAAAAGACCCAGATCTTTCAGCTATACAGCCAGATGCTAGCAAAGCTGTGAATTTGTGAAAGCCAGATACCGGCAGAGCTACGAATCCGTGAATTCCGTCAAGCGCGTGAAATCCGTAAACTCAGAGAAACACTCTCCATATACACCCCTTTTTCTGGATTACTAGAAATCATAGGGCCGTCAATTTCTGGGGGGGTAGTCCAGCAGAGCCCCCGGTCCTCAATAAGGAAACGTTTTGGGGGTTCGGAAGAATGATTCACTTCGCCAGCCGCCAAGAATTTAAAAGGGTTTATATAAGATTCACAAGGCCCAGATCTTTCAGCTATAAAGCCAGATACTTGCAAAGCTATGAGTTCGTGAAAGCCAGATACTAGCAGAGCTATGAACCCGTGAAATCTGGATTAAACTCATTTAGATTTAAAAGACCCAAGGCCTGAAAGAATAAAGGACTTCAATTACATTAGATTTGATATTCAAATTTAAAAGGCCCAAGGCTTCAAAGAATAAAGGATTTTCATTAAATTCATTTAAGTTGATAATTTACAAGGCCCAAGGCATGGAATAGCAAAGGATTTTACTCAAATTACTTAGATTTTGAAGGCCCAGAGCCTTTCGCTATAAGGCTAAATACTAGCAAATGCATGAATTCGTGAAAGCCGCGAAATCTGGTTTCAAGGTTTCCACTGGGTGTAATAGGGTTTTAAGTAGATTTGAATACGAACACTAATATGAAACAGAATACCAGCTTCAGGGCTACTACCGAGATTCATGTTTTTATCGATTTTAATTGCGCGACAAAGTTGAGAGGCGGCCGCGATTCAAGGGAATCGTCAATTGTTCTCGGGGGGCCCCCTATACTAAGGGGGTGCCACATAACTATTCGTACAATTATTATCATTGCTGCTGCTGCTCCTGCAGCTACTACTACTACTACTACTACTACTATTACTACTACTACTACTACTAGTACTAGCAGCAATCAATACCATATTTATGACTTTTACTACGACGGCCAGGTGGCAGGGTTTGTCCGCAACCCATGCGTTGAGAAGAGCTAGAAAGGTGGCGCTGTCAGTACTTTCGTATTTCATTCTGCAAGAGTTTGCTAATTTGCTAAATCCGTGATGCACTCACGGCTCCTCGTGTTTTCAAAACGCATCATTGCCGGAGTCTGAACGTATTTCGAGTTGCATTTTGACTCGCAGTTTTTTTTTTCGGCTGTACACAGAGTCTCGTGACGCGTTGACAAGAGCTGGGTAGGGCTACTTGTTCAAGACCACAATTTCCTAAATTCAGGATGAGCAACAGACGACGAGGCAGAGCCTTGGCGCCGTGGTGCGATTGCTGTGTGGCTAGGATGGATCAGTTTGTGCTCACGGTTCAGAGCAGCCTAGTCTTTAGGGCTTAGGATTCTGGATTTAGGGTTGGGGTTATCAGGATTGTCAGGACAGTCCTCTGACCAACCTATGGCGAAACTGCGGAGACCAGAGCGATTGTGCGGTGATACTAGAGGGGCACCCAACAGGCTATTCGCAAGAACATGAGTGCTGTTGGGCAACATGTCGCGTAAAGAGTGGAGGCATCACTGTGAGACTACGCAGACATGTTCAGAATCTTTACAGCGATCAGCCAGGATGGCGATTTTTGTTTGGCGCCCGAGACTTGTTGAGTGCATGGAATGTTCCATTGTGAAATGTGTGCTCAGGCCAAGAAGCTCGTGTTCCGATAAATCGAGTCATCCTGTTCACATCCCGGATCGGCGCGCGGATCAAGATTTCACAGAAAGAGGACCGCTGTTCCGTTTGGAAGCTTGCGGCTCCTTTCATGCTCCCTTTGCCAAAACAAGCTGCATCAGACACCTGCTGTGGCTGAGGAGCTGTACACCAAAATCCGCGAGATAAGTGCCTTTGATCCAGGAGATGTGTGGCTCGCCATTTAATTCCTGAGCTGGAGAGTTGCATCTGCTCACTCCGCTTGAGAGCAACTGTGGATGCTGGGGTAAGCGCTTCGTCTGATTTTCCGTTCGGAATGCTGGTAAAAGAATGTCAGGCAGCGGGGAATCGACTTCCCCAGCTTTCTACAGCTCATGCTGCTTGGTGGGATAGTGCTGGAAGTCCAGGAGGTCTGGCATTGTTTGCCTCTCTTCATCTTGTGCCAGAACACCCAGGCAGTGGATGGTGGACTGCAACTTTGGGGACATTAACTCAGCTGCTGAGAGAGCTCTCAACAGGTGATGTTTCTGACTTGAGAGATTCTAAAGCGTAGAGCGCTGAAGTTCAGCCATGCAGTTCCAATTTCTCTGGTAGTTCTTCGGTTTTGCCTGTTGCGTCGGTTGCAGTGCACTCCGATCGCGTCGGCAATTGGCAATTACAGTAAACATCCTTATTAGGGTTTCAGCAGGCGAGGCCCCGTCCAAGATGGAGGCGTTGCTAAAGCTGACTCGCGTGTTGAAGGTAGTTCCCACGGCGGACTAAGCTTTTACCCAGTGGTGATGCCCAGCAAACAAAGTTAACCGTCTTGCCGTGCAGGACTGCAATTGAATTCGTTCCGTGCGGCCTGCAAAGCTTTTCGAAGAGGGGGTGCCTCTGAATATACCCTAAGCAGGATGCAGATGACAACAGCTGGAAGCTATGTAGTTCTGGGAGGGCACTGAAGCATCTTTCAGGCAACTTCACCATGGCATAAGCTGTTTAGGGCTGCAAGCACTTGCCTTTTTTAAAGGAGCAGAGCGGAGTTTCGCTCCTGAAATACCGGTAGCAAGGTGGCAATGCATCCTGCGAAGCAGATCGCAGACCCGATCCAACTACACAAAAATGCTCTTTATGCTATCACCGTGTTAGCTGCGCAGAGCTTTGCTTTGCTGTGAGAGCGTTCATGGATCTGGAGTGAACGCTGGCTGACATTGCAAATCACGTAGTTAGTACTCTACGCAATCCTAATCACATGCCGGTGCTGATCCTCGCATAGTCACACGAGGGCTTTCTTGCGACCTTCGGTATTGAAAGCAATCTTGAACATGTTGCTGTAGTTCAAGATCAAATTATTTGGGTCCGCGAGCTTGTTGCAAAGCTGGTCTTTGACAGCAGTTGATGCCGATGCCCATGGACAGCTGTTTCGTTTGCATAATTCCAGTTTTGTTTGAACAAGGCCAAGCAAGCAGCCCTACATCCTGCTACTGAACTGTGTCACCTGGATCAAGATTCAACGAGCCTAACTAAGCCCCAACAAAGCCCTTCACAAATGATACCTGCTACTCTGGTCTCTTGTGTGCAGTCTGCAATGTTGTATCGGCGTTCGTCGCGATGCCGTTCACATGAGGCGAAGGCCACATGTCCGTCGCGCCTTTCCACACCAAAAAACATCCTCGCGCTGCAGGATGGTCGAGTGAGCAGCGCTGTGGCGACAGTGGCAGACCTCCGGCGGGCTGCAGCTTGGATCGCTGGAGCATGCTGGAGCGTGTTTGACTCAATATCCAAGACAAAACCTCTTTAGACGAGGTGCGCAGGGCATCAGAGCTCCGTGGGACATGGCCAGAACGTGGAGGTTTGTTTTCGTGCCATGAAGCTGCGCATGCTGCGCGCACTGTCAGGCTCCTGTGAGATGCATGAATTAGTGAGCACACCTGCAGGAACTCTGCTGGAGAAGCAGATGGCGTCTTCAAAGGAGGGGGCGTCGTGCCATGAAAGCTGTATTCTTGCTTATACAAGTTCTGGGAAGGGCGAGAGCCACTCGGAGCGAGAGAAGACGGCAATGCTGAACAAGGCGCTGGGGACAGACCGTGCGCACTGGGAATTTCCGTGGCTGATGTTCTGCATGCGCTGGCGGGTACACTTGTATTGTGCAGATTGCAAACCACTGCCTTGAACATTGAGCAGGTGCTCTTTTCCGCAGCCAAGATGCAGGCGCACCCATCTGCCTCTGGCCAAGACAGCGGTCACAAGCCCACAGCTCTTTTCATGGTTGCCTTGTGCAGGTGCTGGCGCAGCGAGCGCAGCCACGCCGACGGCGGGATGCAAAGGCGGAGCCCAGGCGCTAGCTTTGGGCGGCTTTGGCCTTGTCCTTGAACTTGTGTCTTAGAGAATGCTTGAATCTGAGAAACTTTAAGGACCCTTGAACTGCCTTGAAGGGAGACGTGAAAGGTGTTGGCTTCAGCATGATGCGGGAGCCATGTCTTGCTTGATGACCAGGCGGAGAGCGTTTGCATGGCCCAGCACCAGCCACATCGGCAGGCCCCTGGCTTTCAGAGTCGCAGGGTCCTGGCATGCAAAGTGTCGCCCTGTCGGCGGATAAGCTGTGCAGAATCGTGTAGCTCCCCCTGCAGGCTTGTGCCCAGTGTCGAGGAGAGCTTGAACAAGTTTTGGGCAGACGAGCTGAGTCATCCGGCGGCTTCAGATGAACCAAATGTGACCAAGTGCAAGATTGGACCAAGCCGGAGACTGTAAATCTCTTTCTGACGGCACCCAGTGGAGGTTGTCACTTCTGCTTTTGCCAGTGTGAAACTGATCAACAGGGCTGTGGTGTGTCTTGCATCACCAGCTTAGCTGTTCTCAGGCTCAGAAGACTTGCTACGATTGCGCGTAGTTTTTCGGTCGATGTCCGAGGATTGATGCAGACTGGGTCAGGGGCCTTTTTTGGTCTGGGCCTGGCCAAATCTTAAGAACGAGAGCACATGTGCTGCAGGACGGCCTGCATGTGCCACGTGCAGCATTGCCCGAGCTTTCTGTGCGCTTGGGCTTCCGTACTCTGGACGCAGACAGGCAGGAAGATTCTGACGTTGCGGTGTTAGAAAGGTATGCATCATTCATCAATTTCCCAAACTTGCCTAAACGGTTCCCATGGTGTCGACTGCACTTGCATTGGCAGGAGCGCAGGCATTATGGAGCAAATCAGCAGCTTTGACAATTTGGACTTCCAAGACTTCTGCGACTTCTGCGAGCGGGCTTTGGTGGTATTTGGGCTGCAAAGATTTTGTCTTAAGACGTCGTGGATGCTGAGAAATAGCTGATTCTTTACTACGTCTGCAGCACACACTCCCAGATGTCAAGCTTGGGTCCCTCAATACGACTCAGCATCAGAAACTCAGTATAAAGACCATCTCCGAACACGGGGAAGTCCCGTTGCCACATTGGCCAAGTGTAACCTTCATCCCGTGCATGGGCATAGTCATGCTTTGTCCCAAGGATCCTAAAAGACATCTTCAATGCAAGACTTGAAGCTTGAGGTAGAGCGTCAAGCATTTCAACATCTTCTCAATACCTGGGAGCCCAATCCTGGCGACAACGTGCTTTGGCATGCAGTGTGTCTGTACAACTAACAAGAAGTACAAATAACGAGAGTCGCATCAAGCAAACTTGAAATCGACATGGTTCTACCACCAGCCACAGATGGCTGATGGACCTGCGACCTGGCCTTGACACTTGATTGTTTCAAGTTGTTCGGAGTACGATTAGTAGCGCGGAGAACTTGCAAGTAGCTTTTCGAGCAGCTCAGTTTTTGGGCGCTGTCGAGCACGTACAGGGCTTCATGCGAAGTCTGCAGGTGGTTTGCAGCAGGCCAGCTTGCTTTCATGGTCTAACCCGCCGTGCATTGCATCTGGCATGACTTGCAGGAAAACAGTGCAGGACATTCTCGAGCTGGCTGGCATGAAGGCAAATCAGCACGGGTACTGCCTTTTCCTTTGTTAACACAGCGCTTGTTGGCGCTTGGCGTGTCTGCGAGGATCAGCCGTGTGACGACCCGCAAGAGATCCTGCGGCAGCTCATTCAGATAGTAGTCGTTTCACGTTGAGATGAGACTGAATTGTATTTTTCCCGTCTGTCTTTCGTATGCAAGTCCCATGCCGCTGGCTTTACTGGGAGTCTCTTGCTTGCGACTCCCAGTGTCAGGTTCCTAGCTGCTCATCATGCCTGTGATGGGTTCAACCATGAGGAGCCCGCACTCAATTCACTTCTCCGCTGAAACCAGTACTGCAGTGGCCACTTGTTATGCCCAAACACTTTCTCGAATGCCAGCCCAAGCCTGGTAACAAAGGCTCTTTGGGACCAAGCAATTTGGAGAAGAGTCCGCTACAGATTGTGTACCAATGCGAAGAAGCAATACCATATCCGGTGAACGCGATCCTATGATCTCGACCTTAACAGGGCAGCATTCAAACAAACCAAGAGTCATCCTGTTAGATATAATCTGATAGTTAGGAGGCTGTCGGCAACCCACACTGCTTTCTATGAAGGATACCTTTAGCCCGAAGCATGACAAAAGAGAGAAAGCTCGGATACACTTCTCCCTGCTGCAGAATGCCCAACTGGAGCCCTCAGCTTTGAGAACCGGTGCGCAATAAACCCTCTCTGGCCCTTGCAATCCCCACATGATACATGCATGCGCCTAGATCCCATAGGTTTAGTGCGTTGGCAAGTTGACAGCTGCAGGAGTTGGCCAGAATAGTCGCCGCCTTTGACGCTTGCGAAGAAGAAAGGCGCGGTTGCCAGACAAGGGTGTTTCCGGGAATTAAATCGGGATTGCATAGCAGTGATTTGGATCATCTTTTGGAGATATACAGAGCCCAATTCTTGAACAGCAACAAGCCGTGAAGAGTGCGGACGGCTTCAGGAGCAATACTCATCGCACAAAATGCAGAAGAATCAGAATCACAACAATGGCAACCATCAGCAGATGTTCATCTGCCCTGCAGATTGCAAGATGCATGCTGGAAACAGTCACTGAGATGCAGGCCCAACCCTGGTCCAGAGGGTCGTCTGGCCAAGTCTTCAGCATTAGAGTCTGCTCTTCTGCACCCTGGCAGGAAATCTAGGGATGAGGGCAGAGCTTCGAGTTAGAGCGTGTATGCATCTGGAGACAATCCAAAAGTAATGCTTGACAGGGACGCCCTTCCCCCTTGTAATCGCCCCACATGCTAGGAGACGCTTAAAGATTCTGAAGTGGTGACGGGGATGACAGGCTTCTGCGCGAGTCAAATCGTGGCAAGGAGTCTTCATCGGGATCTTATTGTACTATTGCAGGAAGTCTGCAGAGTCCACCGTTTGACATGGGTAATCCTGAGAAGATCCTGGTTGGGGCGATGAGTACATCACATTGCCTGGCTTCTAGGTCGTCTTGCAGGGAAACATTCTCTACAATGCTCACTTTGCCAAGGCATATTTGAACATCTAGCAAAGAGTGTGATGATGGACAAGGCTTGTCTGACTGAACACTTACCGGGCAATCAGCCAGGGGCTGTGTTTGGAAAGTTGCATTTTGAAGTCTGGGCGAGAGCATCAGATGGAGGAGTGCCAGAAAATCAGTCCCTCTTAAGGCAGCTTGTTTTGCGGAATGACCATGTAGGGCGGGAACAGGCTTCCATCTGGCGGCAGGTCTCAGGTTGATGTCTTGGATTAGCTGACTCTTGCGCAGATTCATTGCTCTGCTGCCTTTGATTTCTGGGCGGTAATTTGTGGTTTGGCTGCATGAGCCAAAGGACATTTGGCGGAATATACTTCGTGGAGGAATGGCGCAAAATCAAGAAGAAGCTGAAGGCTCACATGCTTGCCTGGGTGTTGGATGCAGGATTTGGTCATGTTTGATGATGCTTGCCAGGCCCGAGGGCTCCAACATTCGATCCTCGGCCAGATTAGCAGGCTCTCCGGATTCCTGGGCTTCCAACTTCAGAGGGAAATTGTTGCCCGCCATCCAGCTGCAACAAGAGCTTGTGGACCTGCCAGAAAGGAATCGCTGGAGCTCTGAAAATTGTCCTACCTCGTTTCGCTTTTCCTCGCTCTTTCTGTTTTGAGCTCGCAAAGGAGCTCGAATGGAATCTGCTTCTTCGAGTTTCTGTTTACGGCACGCCGCATCCGGGAGCGAGAATTGAAAGCCGTCGCAGATACTTGGATTGCGCATTTGTTTGCCATCTCTTGATTTGATTGCTTCATGCGCTGCGGCATGACGAGTTGGACCCATGGCGAAGTCATTGCTTGGCCTGCTGCAGGCCGAGTTTGATGCCCTTGACACCGATCGAGATGGCATCATCTCCGTGGAGGAAACTTGCCTGGATGCAGCTTCTGATTCATTTGGCCATCACATTTTGACGCACGGCCTGTGGATGCGCTGCTTCTGGTTCAGGCGCTGCGTGCACTCTGCAAGCCATTGGGATTCACGTTGGTGGGCTCCGAGATGGAAGAGCTCTTCTGCAAAATCAAAGGACTTCTCATTGCATGACCCGTGGTCTCAAGGTGTCAGGGGAGTCCTGTCATGAATCGGAGAGGGCCGCAGTCTTACAGAAGCAAGCTCCGTCCTGCACCGTCTTGCACAGTCCTGTACACATCTGCGTAGTATGTTAAAGACTTTGCAGGACTCTCGGAGGACAGCCTGCTGAATGTGGAGGCCGCATGGGACTTTGTCCAGACTCCTGACTGAAACCGGTCTTTTCTAGCATGGTGACCTAGTCTCACCAAGAAGACAAGCCTGATGCCGTAGGAAGACCTATCTGCTCCATTCTCGTCAAAGTATGCAACAGCAGTCCAAAGCCTGTAAACCATCTGAACCCTAAGCCACTGAAGCCGACATCCTGATCCCATTAATCTTGGTAGGTGGATCACCCAGTAGCAGCGTATTGAAGGGACAAGACGTCTTCATCCCCCTCCCCAACCTGCCTTGGTAAGCCCAGGCAAGTACGCAGCTGCCATGGCTTCACTCATGCGGAGAGGGAGCCAGCAGGGTGTAGGGATACATTGAACAGTACATCGGTCCGTGGGAAAAAATCACCACGGTGCCTGCAAGTTGCAGGAGGAGCTGTTGCGGAGCTTCCTCCGCTTCTCCGGCGGCAGCGGGGAGCTGGCCACTGTGAAGGCTGGAGAGGGCCCGCAAAATGTAAAGAGATACTGGGGGCCGTTGACTGGAGTTGAGAGCTTGGTGATCAGTCAGGTAATGGAGCTCCTGCAGTGGCACGGAGCCTAGCAGACCCTCTGCGCACTGCAGAGCTGCAGAGCTTTCCAGAGCTTTCCTGCGAAACTTGAAACGGAGGTTTTCCATTCGCAGCTGAGGCTTGGACTTGAAGGAAACATCGAGGAAGCTCGAGACATGCTTCGATCCTTTCATGCAAGCCTTAGATGTACCTGCATCATAAGATCTGCTACAGTGTGAGCTTCAGGCATGGTCGACTTCAACTTCAGTGGAACCCTTGACTGTGGAGAGTTTCTGCGCCTGATGCGGGTGCAGAAAGCATCCGGGTTGCATTCCAGGAGTGGGAATGCAGTACACCGACATCTGCAGCAGCAGCTCAGGAAAAGAATCTGAAGGCGTATGCGCTTGCATATGCATCAAAGAACCTGGGTGAAGATCTCAGCGAATGTGTCCTTGGCCTGCTTGAACTCCTGCCGCATGGTCGTTTTCAGCTGCCGATGCAATTTTGCCTCATGCCGCAACAGCAGAAAAATGACCTGGTGCAGTAAAATCCTTTGGTACACTTTGCAGGAATACTTCTTTCCCACAGACTACGTAACAGGCCGCCTTGTCGCTGCCTTGGCCGAGTGCGCCGTGCATCCGGAGAAGCAGACTTTGGAGGACAGCGGTAGGCTCCAAACTTAGCGTCCCACGGGTGTCGAGGGTGATGGAGAGAGTTGGGTGTTGCAAAACTCAATTTTCATTTTGCATCCCCGCTGCCATACCCAAAATTTGTCGAAATGCTTGAGTTTAAGTTTCAGATGCCACTGCCTTCAGGTTCGGACTTCGTCTTTCCGGTTCAATTTAGGAGTCTAAAACAATCGGCAAGAAGATTCGCAGGATTCCGCGACTCAGCAGTTTCAGTAAGGGGTCCCTGCTGTCCCAACATGGGCCATTGAGATCATAGATTGCACACGAAGTATTCTGTAAGTCAAGATATCGAGACTTTGGGAGAGCCTCCATTGCATTCAGCAGATGGCAATCTTTCGCAACCCTAACATTTCTTGTGTCCGAAGGAAGTCTTCGGGCGGCAGAGGTGGAGACCAGGGGACTCGCCTCTCACATGGGAAGCGCACCCTGACATTCAAGTTTTGAGATTCTTGCGGCCTATGAGAACCGTGTGTGTCGCAGCAATCCCTGCCTGGATGCCTGGATTGTGGCATGATGCGACATGCTGGCTCATATGAGATCCCCTCATGTTTAATTTTGGTGAGGTGGGTAAGCCTTGCAGAGGAGGCCTTGCTTTGTTTGACAAACGCTACTCTTCCTGCTACGAGCGAATGTGGCCCCCTTTTTTTCGAGGTGCGGAAGATGTCACCTGTGCAGAAACGTAGACGGGCGGGCTTCACTGAGATTCAGGCTCTACTTGGGCTCTGAGGATTTGTGGGAGTTGCTGCGACTACTTCTGCTGCGCTTGTGTGCATGGAGCCCAGATCGGTTGCTGACATCCCAGCCTGGCAGCCTGGCCAGGTCCAAGACATCGAAGCCTCTTTTCGCGGCCCGGACGCCGTTGATGGCAAGACAGGTCCCATCCAGGCGGGCTAGGCTTCCAGAGCCTTTCGAAGCATTGGAACCTGGCCCGAGGTCAGTGACCTGTTATGGATGCTGCTCGACTCAGGCGAGCTATGTCAACAGAGTATTATAGTTTAGCTGCACATGAGATGGTCAGGATTCTGCATTGCACAAGGTTGATTTGTTTTGCGCAACATGCAAACCCTCATTCTACAGTGAAAGGGTGAATGGACAAATCCTTGTCGACTTACCCCATTCGATTGTACTTCAAAGCGTACAGGGTATGTACGTGTATTGCATCTACATAATTACATATTATATACGTATTTGAGAAGGTCGAGAGAAATTTCCTCGATCCACAGTCATAAACCTCACGCGCGAACCTGCACGGCCTGAATCAAAAGCCCTCCTAAACCCAAAGCTTTAATCCCTGAATCTAGACTCCATTGTACGAATCCTAGAAAAGATCAAAAAGCTGAACAGGTATGCCGATTCACCGTGCTGAGGAGCGAAAAGACTTCCACCAGGCCACGTCAACACTGTCTTCGGATTTGGGGGGTTTCGGAAAAGGTCAAGGGTTTGGTGTCTGAGCTTTAGGGAAAAGCTGCGATGTTCTGATTTATAGGGATTTTTTTGGGGGGTTTTGTGTAAAGCTAAAGATGGATGCTTGATGAACCATATTTTCTAAAGGAGGATCCCCAGAGCTACAAGGTGAAACAAGGACTTCAGGATATGCGGGATATGCAGGACTCTGCTTGCACAGGAACATCATCTCACAGCTACAGCTGTCCGATTTCAGCACAAGCAAGGAATCCATTTTTTTAACGCGCGTACCCTCAAGCCGAGGGCCACCCAATTGAGGGCCCGCGGACGGGATTTGATATGTTTTTTGTTTGTAATTTATGTTGTAAGTGAACGCCTTTGTAGTCGTCATCGCTAGTTGGCCGTATCTAGGTTTATTTATGCCAGCAAGAGTCCTTCCTTGTTCTTTCCCCTGACAGGCCTTGGATCGTGCTCGGCAAGAGGCGCTCGAGGCAGAAAGGGAAGCATTCCGAACGTGATTACTTTTCTTCTTGCTGCCATGATTCTTATAATATCCTTCTCAACCAGCCAGTGTTACTGAACAATTTTCTTTAATGTGTTGACGGTTGGCTACGGTATGTCAGGCTGGTACTCGTCCAGAGGATGTTGGTGAGCCGGGCCACTGCAGCTGCACGACGAGTTGCTTCTTGCAATGCTAGTCGTATCACACCTCAATAGAAAAGTCTTGTTGTTTGGATGAGTTTTCGATGGGCATTTGCAGCTCCACTTCTTGGCCAGTACTACAAGAAGTGCATGGCTGTTGCTAGATAGGTTGCAGTGGCGAAGTACTAGCAGAAGCAACATTGCTTCATTAATTTCATCAGGAAGTCCAGAGCTTCACTTGGCCCCCTTTCTCCACTTGCTCCGGGCGCATCTTGGCAGAGTGTCCTTCGGGGGTGTTCACTGTTAGTGGAGCGTGAAGCATGCGGCTTCTCTGGTTCCAAGTACATACAGGCCGGTAATTATTCAAGAGCTTGCAGCCCCTACGATGTCTGTGCTCTCGCGCTATCCCCAGTTGGTTGGTTTGAGAGCAAGACGCCGTCGTTAACATGACTTGCATGACATGAGCGCTGGAACGACTGTGCTTGCTCCATGCTATGTTGACCGGAAATTGCAGCCTCCTCCTACATTTGCTCCCTCGTTCGCTTTAGGCATGTTCGCGTCATCGAGCAGCGGCAAATCATGAAGGAAGAGGCTGCGATGAGGCTGGCGCAAGCTTTCTTACCGAATTGCCGCGCCAAAGAAAAGATCTGCCGTAGAATTCCCTCAGCCCTACTGATGAATTTACCTGGCGGAGTGACTGCTAACGCTGCTTCGTGGCTCACATGAAACGCGTGTGCCCTAAACCCTAAACATCACAATGCAGGAGCTTGAGCTTCTCAGCAGAGGAGATTGCAGACCTTCGGAGCATCTTCAACCGCCAGGCAGTCTGAGGAGAGAACGCCTGGAAAACAAATACATACATACATACATACATGCATGCATGCATGCATGCATGCATGTATGTATGTATGTATGTATGTGTGTATATGTGTATACATGTATACATGTGTACATACGTACATACGGACAGAAATGCATACATGCCCCCCGCCCAAGACCTACCTTTGCGGGGCTCAAGGAATGATGGGTAAATTGCCAACCTGGAAATTTTGAAGTCAAGAAACTTGCAGGACATGTGGAAATCTTTCTGTATCATTGATCAGTATCACGAAGGCAGTTTGTGACATATCTATACGGATTTCGTAGGGCTACACATTTCTTTGAGGTTGAGGTCCTTGTTGTGGGTTGGTCCCGACAGTCAGGGTCTTTCATTTCCTTGAGGTAGAGATGGCATTTTCTGTTTGAGCAGCACATAGACCTCCAACACGGAAAAAGAATCCAGTCTTTCTGGACCTACGAAGAACAGCTTCGAAGTTGGCCTATCATCAAGGTTATTGCAGCGCTACAATTATTATCTGCATCCACGCCATAGTTTTGTTGTTTATGATGTTCATAATTTATGAAAGTTTTTATGGTTTAGAACTTTGATCTTTGGCCAGGCATGCGAAGCCCGGCAAAAGGATGTCATGGAGGTACGCGGCAAAAGGGTGAACTATTTTTCTCAAGCTGTTGGACTCTGGGATTTGCACAGACTATGCATGTATGTTGCTGATCTTGCTTGGTGGCTATGAGTGGAATTGGTAGGGTATGTGTTCAGATTTGCCCGCAATCAGGTTTTTGTTAACCGACGTCAAGAGCTTTTGTTGGCTCAAAGAGACTTTGTGAGGCTCCTAGTTGGGTTTTATAATCTTGGAATTAGTGGGTTCTCAACTATTAACATCGAATGAGCGTGGACAAAAATAACAGCAATGTAGTCATTACAAACTTCGGTAAATATCATAGTAGCCTCTCGACTCTCCACAAGGATCCCTGCATTGTTTGGGTCCGTTCCCCCTTAGGGTAACGGTCCCAGAAATATTTTGGGGGCACAATAACTGGAAACTGGTACTGCAAGGGGGCTCACCCTATCTATGATTTCATGACATTCACCTGCATAGGTCCCGGTCTGTCACTCCCTGAGTGGCGCCGTCCTACGCCTCTGCAACATATCGCGGCTGCCATGCTCTGAGGCCGGGACTAGAGTTTTGGGCCAGTTTTCGGAATTTTGGCTCGCAAGCCTTCACCTTTCGGATTTCCATCTGGTCTGTCTGTTGCTTTTCCAGGTGTAGAATATTCGCAGTGCCGCCATTCTGTGCTTGCTAGTCCAATATGTAGATCTTGGAATTTCAGACCAACAATCCGCCATTGCACCTCGGTAGCGCGACGAGAGATAATATGTCCGTATTTGCTTCTTCCATTCAAGCTAACCATGATTGTATGAACGATCCTTGCGAATATTTGTATTAGAAACACTGCAAGTAGAGGGTGCTCGCCGCTGCATTTTTTTGTTGGTACTGGTGTCTTGGGCGCTCTTCGGCTTGGAACACAGGCATGAATTTGAAGACTGCATTTTCAGAAGCATCCGCGTAGATCGGCTTGAGAGTGCTGAATTCAGTTCGCGGACGAACTTGGCACGCTCCCCTATACCACCAATGTGCTTGAGACATTATGATGGTGTAGATCTTGGGTTGTCAGAAGTCAGCTCAGAATGTTCATTGTCAGTCAGGTGGTGCACCTGGCCGGCTGCATCGGGGTTCGCATGAAGACTTCGCAGAAAGATACGTGGCGACGCTGAATCAGAAGTTTCAACGCAGAATGGCGTAGAGATGTATCCTACGTACATAAAAGACTTGGGCATTTTTTTCCACACGCTCAGCTAAACTGGTACCGGCATACGCATGCTGGCCTAGTTGGAGCGTGAGTGGCTTAGGCTGCAGCGCAAGATCCAAGAGCTTTGCAGTCATGATGAAGGCGGCCCTGCTTTCTTTGTTGCTAGACGCCGTCTGTGCTGTGGGCATTAACAAAGCTGGTATGCTGTTTGCATCAGTCTTCGCGCTGTATTACTGTTTTGTATGCAGCTGCGAAGACCTACCATGCGCAGGTCATCCGCTGATGCACCCTTGCGCCACGGTGCCGGACGTGGAGGCATAGCTGTTTCCTCTGGCTGTTCGTACTCTTCTGTGGAACCTCATTGGACCTCACTGGCAGACCGGCAACCAAGAGTTTCTTTAGAGATGCCTGGCAAGGCGCTGTCCTTTGACGCCGATGCGGACAGCTGTGCCTCTGCCATTCAAAGTTAGCTTTGTGAAGCACCCATTATCGCCTAGTCCAGATTGAATACTCGCCGCGTGACAGGTTTAGCCTTGGACTTTGCAGGCTTCCTGCACATCGTCAAATGGATGACTGACTGCTGCTTGCCATTGCTATGGGGGTGGGACGACATGCGAGCGCCTGTGCCTTGTATTTGAGGCAACTTCTGCAACATCAACGATGTTGCTGAGAGGTGCGTGCAGACATCCTGGCGCCGACCTTCTATATTTTAATGGGTTGGGCAGCACTCAGTTTGGATGAAGCATACCACACCATATCATGACAGTTACTGTGAGCAGCTATTGTGGTAGATACGGTTCTCTGATGGATGTTGTGTCAAAAACGACATGTCTACAAACCGAGCACCTTACGCTTCCAGCTTCGTGGAAGAAGACCTTTCCGGGTCTGGATGCCGTGCTCACTTCGCAGGCACTTTGGCCGCGGAGCTTGTTTTGAAAGCACTTCTTTGGGGTTTGGGCACATGGTGCCATGAAGGCCTTGAGAGTTCCGCTGGCAGGTAATGGCAATAGCATGCAAGGGTTTCGCCCGAGATTGATGTGCTTTCCTAATGGTTAAGTCTAACTCGTGTGTGCTGAGCGCTTCAGCAGATTTGAACCGTTCAACTTTTTGAACATGATTGGAGTTTGTCTGACATAGAGAGGCATTGAGGTGACACCTATGGTGTTTCACCTGCAACCTCTGCAGACAGATGCATGTCTCAGTGATACCTCCGCGAGCTGGCTAAGAATCCGCGGCGAGGTGGGGTGTGTAATCATTAAGAACCCATCTTTGTCAGGCGATGCACCTTAGCGTTGCCAGTCCTTCCTGAGGTCGCTGTGCTTAGAGACAGCATAGTCGAGGACACCTCATTTCGACAATACTTGTTCGTGGCCGGCCCTGCCTGCCCGGCATCAGTGAGATTCCGTGCTTGAGCCGAGAGGTGAAGTGCAAAGTGCTTGAACCTACTTGGGCCCCTGTTGCAGGGCTGAAATGGCAGCGTTTAGCAGCTAATCATGCCGGGGCCGAGAGTCCGAAGAGCATAATTATTTCCGTGCATGCTGCGCAGACTGTGCTTGCTTGTAAGCCCGCAGCGAATCCCACTGTGGAGACATCTCCAGGGCTGATTCCTGCAAAGTCGGATGTAGCTGAAATTGCCAAAGCACAGTATGCGCTTTTCATTCTGGCCGCCTTTTGAAAAGAGCCCGCTGAAAATGTTGCTGCGTTTATGGTTTGACTTTCATGCCAGAAGCCTTTTGGGTGTTAGTCTTGGGTGCAAAGATATACAAGGGCCTTCAAGTTGATACTGTTTCGATGCGACGCAACTCATGCGAGCTCCTGGAGCAGATTTCCAGCCGCAATGTTACCCCGAAGAAAGAAAACGCACACATAGGCACGAGCATTAGAATCTCGGCTCCTCTGGGTAGAGGGACCGGTATTGCAGCCTCTGCTTTGAAAGGTTCCGCTGGTCAGACAGAGCTGCAAGACATAGCGCAGCCCATGCAACCCACGCGCAATTCACTTTCTACCCCGCATCGACCTACTTACCGTGTGCAGGCAGACAGATGGTCGTGCTGAAGCACACAGGCTTGCAGTGCTATCCATGTTTTACTTAGTTCGCAGATGGTCAGAAGGAGGGAGCTTTTTGAACTACAGTTGACCGTGGAGTTATCCCATAGCAAGCGTAGTAATCGTCTAAAGCAAGGTTGTTCCCGAGCCCCCGGCGGCCCTGGCAACCTGAGTGGTCCATCAACAAAGATCATCAACCACGCTTGGCCCAGATCCTTAACTCCAAATACCAAGCCGAAAACCCTTAAGCCCCAAAACCCAGGCCTGAAATCCGCAGACCTGTATACCCGGGCAGGCCTTCGCCTACGAGCTTCCAGGTCCGGGAAGTCTATCTGATGCTTCCAAGGGAATGAGGGAATGGATTTCCAGAGAAGCCTTATAGGATCCCAATCATCGCTTCCAATTCATTCACGCATTTGCTGATGAGCACAAGGTAGGTGTAGCAGATAGGCGGCTCATTGGACAGCATTCTTCAGGGGTAACGTCTGATGTCTACCCTTCCTTCATCTTGCGTACCCCACACAGTCCCATGTCACCCAGCAGGCGGTGATCCCAGCTGCATGGCAGGGGCGTCGGCAGTCCATCTGAAAGACGTTTGAAGGCCTGGGCCTCTGCAAAGAGCCCAGGAGAGCCTGGGCTTCATAGGTCAAGAACAAGGACATGTCAAGTCGTATTGAAGCGTTGAGGTGGCCCACTTTAGGCCGTCTTAGCTGCCCAGTAGAATCTGCAGGGCCTGACAGCTGTAGTGGGTCGTCCTGTGTGTGCTTCCTTCTTGAAGCATGCAATCCTCCTGGTGTGGCCAGGCTCTGTGCTGCTGATGGAATTGTGCGCAGGGGGTCTAGGTTTTGGATACATTGGTTGGGTCTTGCAGCTTGCGGAGAGCCAGGCCACTGTCAAGCCAGGATGTTTGTAATTTTGCTGATTTTGCTTGCCTGCTCCTCTGCTGCAGCTCAGTTAGACTGTTAAGCAGCTCAGGAGCATCCTTCTGTGGGAACTTGAGTCATCCTGCTTGATCTTCTTTGATCGCATGACAAGATGGCGAGACTGAAGCTCCCGCAGTCCAGCTCATCCGCTTGGATGGCAATTGTGCACTGCTGCCGATACTTGTTGCCGCACAACATTGCTTTGCAACACT